CTTGCTAACAGGCCCTGGCTTATTTTCCCCCCAAACAAATGTTACTGATTAAAACGCTTCATTAAGTAATACCTTAATTCGCTCGGATCTCTGCCGGTTAGTTTTCGAATATTTTCGTCCACGCTCTTTAAGCTTTCCTTGGCTTTTTCCAGCTGGTCTTGCAAACTTCGCACGACCACCGCCATCTTGCGCTTCGTCTTCCAGCAGCGCGTGGAGCGTCGTGCACGCGCTCGGATCACGTGCGGTCCTGTAATATTACAGGTGGCGCGCAAGAACCGCCCTTGATTGACAGGATCACCGTTAAATGACAAATTCATTCATTTCAGTGCCAGGCTGTTGTATGCAACTATGTTTTTGTGTCCCAAAGTAAATTTTTTACCCCTCATTGCAACATTTGTTATATCAGATTTTCCTATGGCTGCTATAACACTTGCCATTGCCACATATAACAGGGTTACAAACGTCTCTTGTTTTTTCAGTCATGAAAAATATTACAAATAATAATAATAATTATTATTATTATTATTATTTTGGACAGACAGGTTCTTGAAAAATCTTGTCTCTTTATCTTGCATACCACATCTATGACATCTATCTATCTATCTATCTATATTTTTTAATAAAAATAAGGATGATTTTTAGTGAGTTCTTTAATAAATCTGAAATGGTTTTATTTAGCAGACGCAGCACACCACCAGCATGACAATGAAATACCAAAAGGCCAAAGATGTTTACATTTTATGTCAGAAATTAAGTTTTATTTGACAATAAAAATGCTTTAAAGGACAGTAATTTATAGTTGTAACAGGTGTACTTCAATATTACATGGAACCCAATGCAATTGGCTTGTATAGTCCTTTACAAAATCTCATGAGAATCTCTCATGATTCCTTTCACGCACATGAATTTTCTTCACAAAGGCCCCTCCGTCTGTTTCCAAGTTCTTCTCATTCTTTGTCAGCCAAATCATTTTGCTCAAAATACCTTTAATAGACAGGAGTGTGATTATACTTCATAAGGACACCTGCACATATTTCAGGGAACCCTAAATCTGTCTATAACAGCACCATGTCAGTTACCTGGCAACAATACAAATCATCAAGTTAAGAGCTGACAAACGATCGTCATCTTTGCTCTCCTGGAAGAGAAAAATAATATACAGTCTATTTTAAGCAACCTATTTTAGGCTGTCAACAAACAAGCCTTCACCTGTGCAACTGCAACAGAAGCCAGGGAGAAAATAATGATAGCCCAGCTTTTCATTCAGAGCAAACCAAAAGGTGTTTACCAGATTGGCACGCACTGCAGAGCACCGTCTTGCCAACTGTCTGATAAGGGAATGTGCTTCAGGAAGCAGCGGTTTCTCAAGGCACGCTAGTAATGCATAAAGCCATCTGCCCTGTGAAGATGAATGTGCAACGTACAGCTAAACTGAAATACAGTTCAATAATACCATTAAATTTTATTGGGAAAAAATGCAAAACATACAATTTATTAGTGACAAAGAAATAAATATTTTACCTTTTCTTTAAATATATTCATGTATATTGAATGTGACACAATAGAGAAATTGGACTTACCAGTTGTGGTACAAAGTCTCTCTCCTCAAACCAATTGATTAAATAATCAAGCACAGCTGAAATGGTTGACTGAATAGGGAATGCAATGCAATGACAATTAAATATTAAAATCTGTGAATTATATGTGAATAATAATCACTTCTGCTGTCAAATGGCAGTTACCTGGTTTAGTTTGCTGACAATGCTTAGGAATGGTGGGAAACCAGTCTGATATAAAGAGATTCAAGAACATCAAATCATGGCAGAATGCTCACATTTTGTAATAATAAATCTACTCAATGTAATCTACTTATACTGACAACCATTATCACAGTGTGTTGATAATCTTATAAGGGGGGAATTATTATTATTATTACCTTGATATAATCAAGACTCAGGTTAACTTTGTCTTCTTCTTTCAGCTGGATGTCAAGGCAAACATTCTCACCCAAGCAGAACCTCTTCCATCCATCCTCATCCTCCATTTTGGGCTAAAGTGGGGAGAAGACTTTGCTTTTAAAGCAACTTTTTCATCATTTAATCAAAAGTACAGTAACTGAATGTACTACAGGATTGTAACGTACAAGTATGTTTTATGTGAGTGGAACGAGTCGTTTTAGGGGGGCGTGGCAGAGTCTTAACTTTGATAAAGAATATCTCTTTGGTTTTGAGACTTTAGTCTTTGCAACTTCAGGGATCTTATCTATGCACAATCAGCTTGTAACACTCCAAACAGAAAGGAAAACTTGAAATCGCATCATATGACCCCTTTAATGTCTGTGTAATGTAATGTTTATGTGAGCCTATTGTGTAATGTGTGGAATTTTGTATTTGTGATTGTAAGATATATCGTGTGGATTGCGTGTATGCAACTGTTTAATGGTATGTTGATTGTTTGTTGAATAATTGCAAACATTTCAGACTCAGTCTGACAATAAAGTATCATATCATATCATATCATATGTCTTCTGTCCAGATATCAGTTGCCTTACCATGACAACATTATCATCCAAAAACTGAGATTTCCAATGCTGACGATGTTTGTTAACACTCTGAAAAAAAGAAGAAAAAAAGAGTTATATTAATAGTTCTTAATTAAAAAGCAAACAGACAAATGCTAGATACTATTGCATAAGTACTTGTACAAGTAAAAGTTAAAATTGCACACCTGTCTGACTTCTGAAAATTTGCTGACTTGTTGTTGCTGCCATTTCAAGCAGGGAGAGAAACCCTGAGGTGCGGCCAGACAACCTGTGATCTGTTAAAAAAAAAAAAAAGCTAAATTATTACACACATAACAAGTTTTACAATTTAATAGCCACTGTTCACTTGTCACACTCACAGACACATTCACAGATTGTTTCATCTTCAGCTTCTTTGGATCAATTTGTGCCACAACAACATCTGGGCACAGAGACGCTTCCCTCCTGTAAAAAACATAATGCAACTTTATTAATTTTTACAATGAGCATCTAAAAAATCATTAGACAATAAACAAACAAAAGTATTTTTTAAAACATGTTAGAAAGCAACAAAAATATAAAACCAAGTGATAAAGTACAACGTTTTGTAACCAGATTTTCATTTTAAAAAATGCCCCGTTTCGTACAGACTTAATTTCTCGATATTAATAATGAAATGTCTTTTTACTTTTGCAATGGAATATGACTAAATATACACAAGTTAAATCATGCATATCATTAAATTTAACTTGGAAAAAAAAAGTAGGCCTATCTCAAAGCACACTATATCACTGAGAATTTTCCCAAATCAATATTTAATTTTCTTTTGCATTGGTTTTGAATTTTATGAATATTATTTTAATTTCAAATTTATTATTTTCTGTTTCAATACGATTAGAACTTCATATGTATGTACTGCACGTATGTAAAGCACAATGGTGCTTAAATAAAGTTCTACATAACGTCTGTTTTAAAACCTAAAAGAATAAATGAAGAATGACTTACTGGACCTGTCTGAGATATTCTTGAGGGTTTCTGGGCGGTTCGTTTGAGTTATATTCCTCTGTGTCGCAGGACTCCACAGGCAGAAGTCTGGGCATCAACTCCTCCACGTCTGACTTCATGTCTTTGCGTTATTTTCTATGCGCAACCATCCAAAACAAATCAATATTGACGAGTCGCTGCTGTACGTCCTCTACATGCTTGTCAACCTCTCCATTTTGAAAACATTGGCCATGATGACGACCAATAGACGCGACGTAACCGTGGTGACTCGCTCGCTAAGATACAGATGGAAAGACGGAAAAGATGTGTAGTGACATCTGTTGTTTAGGAGGAATGTGAAAAGAAATATGAACAGGATAATACAGAAGTTAAATAATCATTTTCTGTTTTATGCCTGCAGTGTATTAGTATTAGTGTCAGAATTGTACGTTTTTAAGGGGCAACATTTGCCACCTGGATGTGATTTCAGGGGCATCTTGATAACTTCATGAGGTAATTATTTTTTCATGAGGGGACAGCAGTGTGTCGGCCATGTTATGTTATGTCAAATAGTGACATGAAATAAAGCATCGAAATCTTATTTATAGACTGATATCTCAAATACAGTTTGTGCCGCTGGCAGAACTTCAGACTCTACAGACCTTTGCTCAGTCAGTCACTCCTATCAGTAATCTCTCCTTTAACAACACTGTAACAGCACTGAGTGAGCTGATGTGTTACCCATATGCATCTTATTTGTCTTATTTTGTTACTCTTGTACTGGAAAGAGCAGTCTGATCTGTTATATTCACTATAATTAAAAAGTTCTGAGCAGTATCTTATTAATCAATTACCGGTGGTTGTTACTGCTCTAATGAAAAACATAAAAATCCTACACTCTTTAAAAAAAAGAAATCCTTATTTAGCATCTATGGATTCATGAAGAACCTTTAACATCCATGGAACCTTTCAACTGCACAACGAGTTACTTTACAGTGCAAAACGTTTCTTTAGATTATTATAGTGGTAAGAGTTTCTTTAGGTTTTTAAGATGTTCTTCACACCAAGTAAAAATGGTTATTTTAGGAACTGTTCACTGAAAGATCCTTTGGAAACCAAACAATGGTTCTTCTATGGCATCATTGGGAAAACCTTTTAGAACCAACAGGATATTTTCTGTATTCATATTTTTTATGTATTCTAAATGACTGCTCTTTTAGTCTCCTAGTTATAATATAACACAATGATAGTATAAAGGCTAGTATTTCTTATGCCTGTTTCACAAGGTTTACTCACTATAATATCTCAGGTAAAATCCAAACAATGTGAAAATACTACTGCTTCAAGTAGTCTAATATTGTGAAACCTTATCTGTTTGTATGTGGCTTTGGTCCAATGTGAGTTTGCGATGTGGCTTGTGTTGATGTTAATGATTTACTGACAGTAACCTCTAATCCAATCTCTGCCTGTCAGACTGTGATCTCCTTGGATTGGCTCATTCTGTGACAAGACCAAGGGAATGACATTTCGCCGGGACTTTGCCTGTCTTTCCCTCTGACTACTGGATTTGGAAATGTACATAAAGGAATTGATCTAATGAGATGAAGGGAATTGCTGGATAAATCCAAACATGGCAGCTGTACATGCATTCATTTTGTTTCATATTGTCTTCGGCTTTTTACACCAGGGTTTGGGTTTGATTTCAGACTACAAACTATGTGGAGACCCCGAATGTGAAAGTAAGATCATCATTTATGCTCATATACTGTAAAAGAAAAGATTAGACTGAAACTGTGATGTGTGATTACTGTTTATCTAATGATTATATGGATTCATGCAAAATGATGTGATTCGTGTTCAGGTTATTGCTTTCTTATCTTTAAGTTTTTGTCCATTTCTTCAGGCATGATAAGTCGGGTGCAGGCACAGAGAGACCATAGTGCTAAAGACTGCCGCTTTCTAAACTTCAAAAAAGGGGATATCATCACTGTTTACTACAAACTTACTGGAAAAAGAAATGATCTCTGGGCAGGAAGTGTGAGTACTCTTTTCTGGTTCTGTCTTGATTAAAAACATGCATGTATAAATCAATAAAGTAAAATCAATATACAACATTTGTGCTTTAATCTGACATATAAACTCTATTATTTGTTCATTTGTTTATTAATATTCACAATATTTTACATTTTGCAGATAGAGAAGCTGTCTGGATTGTTCCCAAAAGATGCCATCAAAGTTGATCAACTGTTTATTGATGAAAAAAAGGAAATCCAGGTGCCGACCCAGGTAATGTACTTAAAAAAAAAAAACAGTTTTTAATGTACTTTTTCAAAAAACTGTTTTGTCAGGTAACCTAAAAAATGTGTTTCATGTTATACGTCTAAATCAACTGGTTTAATTTATTTAAAATGATCAAATTAACCTCAATACATTCAGTTACAGCAACAAAACTTGTTCTGATCATCTGTTTCACAGATGTATGTCATAATACAGAAGAAAAGATCTGTTACAACTTCCATTACATTAGATCCATACATTAAATCAATACATTAGATTACATTCACATTTTTAAGGCTTGGATCAGGTAAAAATTATAATTTTTCACTTGTACAGAATCTGACTCAAATAAGCTGGCGTAGCTTATGTTAACTCCAAAGAAATCTGAATTATCTGACAGAATTAATTCTTCCATGTATGCTGATTTGGTAAGAAAATTGTCTACAAAGAACATAAATATGAATCAGTGTAAATTCTCTCCTCAGGAATATGACTTCATCTGCTTTGATGATAATGGTTTAGTGATTGAGCGCAGCACTGAATTTGATGATGATCTGGAAGATTTGTCACAAGAAACCCAAGAAACCGATCTCAATGAAGTCCAAGATAAACCTACTGAAACAGAAGAGAGCGAACCCAGCCAGATTTCTGTTAAAGATGTTTCTGATCAAAACAGCCCCAAGACGACAGAAAAAGGTGGGTCTTCCTGGATAGGCTCTGCTGTTAGTGAATGGTTTGGCAGGAATGAACAAAGCAATGATGAACCACAGGATGAGATCGTTGAAGTATCCTTCAAAAGCAGAAAAATTGTGATGGATATTGCGGAGAACCATGTGGAGGAGAAGACGAATTCTGGAACGTTTGGGTGGATCAGGGGTGAACTCACCAATGCTTTTGGGTTTGGAAACAAGGATCTAAAAACTGATACTCAGGACAATATTGAGAACCCAACAAATGATGAAGATACCTCATCTCAGCAGTCTAGCTCCTGGATAAGTATGGGTAGAGATGTCTTGGACTTTAGTGAAGACAATTCTGAAGCTGCGACTAAACATGAAGCTGAGAAAACAGATGAAAACTCAAACATCGAGGATGACAGTATTCTTAACCCGAGTCAGAACATGGGTGTTGTTGACAACCTACAGAGAGATGAAAACAACCCAGATGACAGTGTGGAAAATAAGGACGGTCCTTTGGAGGACAGGAAAACAGAAAATGAAAAAGAAGAAGAGCAGGCGGGGTGGTACGGAAATATGTACAACAGAATCACAAACCTTTACAGAAAAGAGCAAACTAAAGATGATGAGGATGATGGAGGCAAAGACAGTTTGTCAGAAAGCCCTGGATCTGCTACAAATACTGAGAACACTGAAACCAAAGATTCAGAATCAAGTTCACAGTCCATATTTTCAGTCAATGGCCTGACATCAATGCTTAAGCTTCCTTTTCAGGCAGACACAGTAGTAAACAGAGATGAGGAAAAGACAGAAAAGGAGGAACATCCAGGTAAGGAAGACTTTGATGAGGAACAAAATAATAATGAGGATCAAGAAGAAGAAATGTTGACTGATATTGATGAACAGGACTCAAACCCAACAGACACTGATGTACTTAGCGTTGCATCTGATAACGTGGAACAACTAGATGAAGTATCGAATATGACAAAATACAGCACAGATTCACAAATCCTTGAGAAAAAGTCAGCAGATAATTTAACTGACGAAGTTCAAAGTGAAAACATTGCTGATTTTTTTGAGGGAAAGGTGGAGCAAGATACGAGAGATGTGCAAAGTGACGAGGAAAAGACAGGAACGGAAGAAGATCCAGGTAAGGAAGACTTTAATGAGGAACAAAATAATAACAAGGATCAAGAAGAAAAAGTGTTGATTGATATTTATGAACAGGACTCAAACCCAATAGACACTGATGTACTTATGGAAACTCAGTCACTGTCTAATAAAACAACAACTTTAAAAGATAGCATTGCATATTATAGCATTGAACAACTAGCTGTAGAATCTAATATGACAGATGACAGCATAGATTCACAAATCCTTGAAACCAAGTCAGCAGATAATTTAAATGAAGAAGTTAAACGTGAAAACAATGCTGATTTTTTTGAGGGAACGGTGGATCAAGATACAAGAGATGGGCAAAGTGATGAGGAAAAGAAAGGAAAGGAAGAAGATCCAGGTAAAGAAGACTTTGATGAGAAACAAAATAATTACAAGGATCAAGAAGATAAAATGCCGACTGATATTTATAAGCAGGACTCAAACCCAACCAACACTGACATACTAAGTGAAACTCAGGCGCTGCCTGACAAAACAATGACTTTAAAAGATAGCATTGCATCTGATAGCATTGAACAACTAGATGTAGAATCTAAAATGACAGAAGATTCACAAATCTTTGAAACCAAGTCAGCAAATGATTTAACTGAAGAAGTTAAAAGTGAAAATAATGCTGATGTTTTAGAAGGAGCTGTAGAGAAAAATATGAAAGATGTGCAAAGTGACAAGGAAAAGACAGTAAAGGAGGTAAATTCAGGTAAGGAGGACTTTCTTGAGCAAAAGAATGTGAAAGATGAAGAAATATCTGATGTTGTCAAGCAAGAATCAATCACAAAGGATGTTGATTTACTTGATGAAACAATGACTTTAAAAGACAGCGTTGCATCTGATGACATTAGAGATATAGATGGCTTTTCTAAAGAATCTAACACCCAACATGGTGATGAAGTTAAGTCTGCAAATACAAACGATAAAGTTATTCAGAGCACAAACAACTTAACTGATTCATCTTATGACATTTCAGAAGGCAAGTTGACACAAAGTCTGTCTGAACAGGGCGATTTAGACACTATCAAACAGCAAGAAAATGATTCTAATGAAATTAGTACAGATCCTGTAACTGGTGCTAATACATCTGAACTGCCAGAGTCAGATATTCAAACAGGTACTCGGTTACATTATGAAAAAACACAAGAATCAAATGTTGCAGATTTGTACACTGACTCTCATACTGAAACTCTCACAACTGGTCAAAGTGTAAATGCAGATGTAAATACAGAACCGATTATGGATGCATTATCAGAATATAATAATGAAAAACAATTAGCTGAAGGCGACCAAGGTATATCGAAAGAAAATTATGAGGTAGTTATAGACAGAAAAGATGAATTAGTTATGGAAAGAAATGAGGCACAATTAGATGAAGTGCTACCAAAAGACATCACATTTCATGAAGAAAAGTTATCAGATTCAGAAGCACATGCAACGCAAATGAGCAATGAACATAAATGGGACACAAACATAAATCCTCTTGATGAAAGATCTTCTCTTAATCACACTCTTGCAGCAGATGAATTAACTGTAACTAGTGAAGAAAATTTGCATTCAGAGCTTGAGTCAAATTCATCCCTAAACGTCACAGATTATGAGATGGATAATACCAGTGAATCGCATCATGAATCATTGATGATAGAAAACTCAGGTATAAGTATTGTTAAGGATACTGATTCAGCAGGTAAATATAACGATGAGGTTGTATCTCATGAAGAGCAAGAGGAATCAGATACAGTTTCTGAACCTACAGAAAATTATTTTGAAAAAAAAGAGAAAGAGGATGACACACAAATCACACATGAAATTCAAACACAGGAAACACATACAAATAGCCCATCGCTAAACACATCTGATGGATCTGATGATTTAGAAGATGCTGGTCATGATCCCAGTTTACCAGAAAATGCAGACATTGATAATATTCCTAACGCTGTGGCTGAAGACCCAGATGGCTATACAACTTCCACAGAAACAGAACTGACAAATGAATTCTTCTCAAAGAATTACTCAGTTCGGGATGGCAATATTAATACCATGCATGATCAAAATCAAAGTGTTGAGCACAAAGAGGAGACTGACACAGCAAATAATGAGGATCGTCAAACCGATTCAGAAAGTGTCACACGAAGGAAGGAAAGTGGCATAAGTGCCATCTGGGATCAAAGTGATGATGGTGACATGGCAGTGAAGTCAGAAGATAAAGAAGAACATAGTGATGAAGAACAGCCTGGAAGCCTTGAAATTCAAGACAAAAAAACTGTCAATCAACCTACAGAAACCTCTAAAGAATATACAAACTTATATCCTCATCTGAGCGAACAGAATATTGAAGACCTTTTAGATTTATTTGGAGACCAGAAGTTGTCATGGCTGGATTCCAAAATGGGAAATGTTAATGCAGGTCAAGATAATGATGACATTGATGAACTTGGTGACTTTGAACAGCTGTTGGATTACCATATGAAGACGAACACCAAATTGGGACATATTCAACAAGATAACGGTTTTCCTGGCAAGGATAATGCTAAAGAATATCCAGCACTACAAAAACTGTTAACCCTCTTATCTTCTCTAAGAAAGAAATATTCACCAGTGATAACAGATAACAGTTTAGAAAGCCCAGGTACTGATGATTCGTACTGATCATTTTCGAAAATAATAAGAGCATGACAGATAATGGATTTCATAATTTTGGTGAATACTGCATGGAACAAAAACTGCTTTGTGATATTATTTGAGTGATGGTAATGTAAAAGTTGTCGAATTTTCTGTAATGTTCCCTCTCTGTCCTCACAGGGATCAGCAAAGATGACTGTGTTCATGAAGCATGTTTAGATGTGAATAAGAATACACAAATCTCCACAACAGAGGTTGAAAATAATCAAGTTACCGAAGACAGAGCTGATATAAATGACTTGGGCAATCCTCAGAATGAGCCCGTCTCTGAGGAAAAGGACCTTTCAGCAAGCAGAGCTAATGTGGAGGATGTTCAGACTGATGAGCAGGATATACAAAAGCATGAGGATTGGACATCTTTTGAAACCAAGAAAACTACTTTCCAAACCCACGGTCTTATCTCTGAGGAGCATGTTGAATCACAGAAAGAGCATGTTGAATCACAGAAAGGTAATCACTTTTTTGGACTTAAAATTATTTTCATCATCATTATCATTTGCCTTTCCTCCTGTTGGTCCAAACCCATCATGAAAAAACTACATTTTGAGGTGTGACATTTCACACATTACATATACATTGTGGATTGTAAAAACATAAATGTGTTTTGTTGTTGTTGTTTTATGACAGGTGAAGGGCAATTTCATCAGATGGCAGTTTTTGTTGAAGTCACAATTAATGAAATTGCATCTATAGTGGACAAGGTGAGTGTCTCAGGAAAAGTAGCCTGCTAAAAGTAGCCTGTCCCATGTTTATATATATATATATATATATATATTTGTAAAATATATCAATTTCAAAAAGTGAAACTGAGTGGACTGAAGCTGGAGTCAGTGCATCAAGAGTCACCACACTCAGACGTTTTCAGGAGGAAAAGGGCTACCAAGCCACTTCTGAAACAGAAACATCGTCAGAAGCATCTTACCTGGGCTAAGGAGAAAAAGAACTGGACTGTTGCTCAGTGGTCCAAAGTCCTCTTTTCCGATAAAAGTAAATTTTGCATTTCATTTGGAAATCAAGGTCTGGAGTCTGGAGGAAGCCTGGAGAGGCACAGAATCCAAGCTGCTTGAAGTCCAGTGTGAAGTTTCTGAAGTCAGTGATGATTTGGGGTGCCATGACATCTGTTGGTGTTGGTCCATTGTTTCATCAAGTTCAAAGTCAATGCAGCCATCTACCAGATTTTGAAGCACTTTATGCTTCCATCTGCTGACCAGCTTTATGGAGATGGTGATTTCCTTTTCCAGCAGGACTTTAGCACCTGCCCACAGTGCCAAAGTGGTTTGCTGACCATGATATTACTGTGCTTGACTGGCCAGCCAACATGCCTGACCTGAACCCCATAGAGAATCTATGGGATATCATATTTTCAAGAGAAAGATGAGAAACGGTCAATTCAACAATACAGAGGAGCTGAAGGCCGTTATTAAAGAAACCTGTGCTTCAATAGTGCCACAGTGCCACAGGCTGATCGCTTCCTGATCGCACACCTCAGTGATGCTGTAATTTGTGCTTAAGGAGCCCCGACCAAGTATTGAGTGCATAAATAAACATACTTTAAAGCACTTGAGCTTTTCTGTTTTGCAAATCCTTTTTTTTATTGATCTTAGGAAATATTCTAATATTTTGAGATACTGGATTTTTGACTTTCATGAGCTGTAAGCTCTACTCATCAAAATTAAAACAAAAAAACTTTTGAAATGTTTTACTTTACATGTAATGAATCTATCTAGAATATATGAAAGTTTCACTTTTTAAATAAGTTACAAAAAAATGAACTTTTTCACGATATTCTACTTTTTAATGATGATGAAAAATCAGTCATTTGTACAATTAAAATCACTCAAATAATGTAATATTTTTTACTTAAAACATTGATTTGATATTCAATTCATTCTAGTAGGATATAGGCTATTAATGTTATTTATTATTATTGACTTTTTAATTATGGTGTTTATTTTATGTATATCGGTGTTTTTACCTACACGTGCAGTAAAAGTGAATCTAAAGTAACGTTACACATTACCCAAATTTTACACGGAAAATAAAAGTTATTATAATATTTCGTATAGCTCCTGAGGACAACAATCAACATTTTCTGAAGCTACTTTATGTTCAAAATATTTTTTAAAGTGTTTAACGCAATATATTGTACCCTATTTGAGGAAACCGCCGACGACTAACGTTACAGTCTATTTTCTGTCTTGACATGTCGCCAAAAAGTGTCGTATTTTGCAGTCAAGGCAAGTTGATCGATATTGAAAAATACTTACTGTCACTACAACTAAATAACCTATAAAACCAACATAGGTGATAAATAAATATACATTAATGCAGACACAAAGGTTAGTTAAGTACCGGTAGTAACGTTAATTTTGAGTTGACTTGAATCCAGACAGACTTGAGCTGCTCAACCGGTCTCTGGACCAATGACCTTTGTTTATAGATATATATTTAACTGACACAACCACTAATGAAACATACTTACCCATATTTTAAACTATGACGTTTCATAACTACCTCATGACAAATATTTTTGCGTGTACGCTTACTGACTAATTCCTCAGTGTCGATGTCGATACGCCTGTCTCTTTAAAACTCGAACGGAACGTTGTGGCATTCAGCAATTGGTGACGTGTGGAAGAAACCATGACCCTTGTAGGGGTGTTCAATTTTGTGGATTTTACGGTTTTCGCATAAAATAAAATAAATATTATTGTTTTATATAGCAAAATACATATTTTGTGCTTTAAAATTAATATTTAAGCAAATATAACTTTAGCTCGGTTTAAATTTTCGAGACACAAGATCATATGCTTTACAAATCCTCCTTAAAACACAAGAGTGCGCTCTTCCTCTCAGCGCAGTGCGCACTAGCAGTCAGAGTAGAGCAGCATCCGGCACCATGGCATAACAACAGATAAATTAACAAATTATAGAATATAGAATAACTCAGTTTGAATATAATCATGGCAGACGAATTTAAGGCCGAGTCAGTCGTCACAGAAGCGACTGACATGAAAGGAGCAGCGAAGATTTACTACACACTCGCCGTGGAGAAAATCAAAGATGTATGTGGCACAGTGTGTATGATGAAACAGCGTTAGTGTGTATGGCAGGTGTCATATATATTTCTATTAAGTCAGCTATCATAGTTCACAGAATTAATTCTAGTGCAGTATTTACTAGTGTTTAATTAGATGTATACTGTGTAAACCGTTTTGTATTAAGACATATAGCTGGTTAGCATTGAAGCATCTGGTACTGTACATGTTGCTCATTTCATCTTAAATAACCATTGATTTGTGTGATTGTGTTAAACTTATTGATTTATAGATCTACAATGACTTCAACTGCTCTTGTTTACCAGTTTATGACGGTTTAGCTTTAGTGTATTGAGAGGTGTGTGTATATTGTCTTTTTTATCTTACAGTGGCATTGGTTTTGGTCAGTTATTGACAGAGGAGGATGTCTGAGATCGTTTTTTTTAAATCTATTTTAAAACCTTTAAAATATAAATGTGTTAGTAACCTTTTAATAGTTTTGATTTCTTGACTGTAAAAAGTATGTAACAGTAAAGTTAAAAGTGCTAAAATGCTCTTTGCAAAAATGTGTGATATAAATATTCATTATTATTACTGCTACGTTTAAGAAATAATAATGCACATTTATGTGAAACTACTAAAAATTGTGTCTGTGTATGATCACGTGAATGTGGTTTTAGGTTTATAGAACATCCTGTTTAAAAGCATCTGTCCACTTTTGTATGTGTGTGTGACAGAGAGAGGGTTATGGAAAGCCTTATAATGTGAAAACTTGTACAGTTGTTAAATTTATACTTCTCTTTTTCTAGAGAATTCATATATCCATTTAACTTCTGTGTCTTAGGTTGTGTCTTCACTTCCTGATGATATCCGGCCTGGTCCTGACTTATATGGACTGCCATGGGAAGCTGTGGTTTTCACTGGATTTTTAGGTTTATTCACACTGCTTCTGTTCAGCTGCAGGTTCATTCATTCTGTAAGTCATGAATTACTGCTACATAAAAATTGCACATTTTATGAGTGTTATCATTTCACTAAATAAGCTTTTTCTGTTTTGTTCTACAGATCAGAAGTCGACTATATGCAAGTGAGTGTTTTTCCAGCTTTAAACCTATCCTCAGTATCTGATTTAACTGATTTCCACTGTCAGCTCTCAGCTGATCCTGTCTGTTGATTTGTTTGCAGGTAAAGAGAAGCAAATGGTGCAGAAAGTGGCTGAACTGCTTGATGAAAAATGCAAAGTGCTGGAGACATTCAGTGAGGTTAAACAGAAGGTGAGAAATGCTGGTATATGCTCTAAACATAATATACATCCATACTTGTATAAATGCATTCTCCTGAATCAGTCCATCTAAACAATGTCTGTCTGTCTCAACAACAGTTTGACAAACTAGAGTTCACACTACAGAACAATGGCATGTCTGCACAAGCTGCAGAAAAAGACAATTTAGAGGTAAAATGGTCATTATGGTCTCAAATCTTCCTGTTAAAAAACATGCAGTTACTTGGCTCACTGATGTTTATAAATGTGTCTCCCTGACCCCTAGTTACCTAATCCGATTATACTGCCCTTAGGTGGCGTCACAGAAGCTTGAACAATCAAATGCACAGATGAAAAAGGAAATAGAGAGGCTGCAAGAAGAGCTATCCCAACAAAACAAAGCAAGAAAACAGCAAGAGGATCAGGTGATGTTGTCATACACACAGATACACTCACTTTACATATCCAAACTACCCTCTTCATGCTTGATGCCCTTTATGTTGTCTGTATCTGTCCTAAAGGCTGTTATATTTGTTTTACAGCTTGCTGAACTCGAGCAGATTTTAAGAAATTTAGAAGAGGAAGCTAAAGAACGAAAGTCCCAGTTAGAACAGGTATTGACTATGTATATGATGCATGTTTCAGTCATATTTCCTTTTAAAACACTTTAACGTTTTAAGTTATCTGTTCCTCCTGTAGGACAACACAACACTGAAGATCCATGAGATCAACACAGAACGACTGCAGAAGAACCTGCAGGCATCCAAAGAAGAGCATGCAATGCTGCTCGAGAGTAAAGCACAGGTGAGATCTGTGTTAGGGTACTTAGTTCGGACGGAGAAGATAAACAGATCAATAAAATCACTGTAATGCAAGCCGCTTCATGGCTTACTACCTAAACATACATGTAACATGAGTGCTTATGTGTTCATCTCTCATACAGCTGGTGCAGGAGGCAGAGGACTGGGGTGAACGTCTCGGTGAGCTGGAGGAGGAGATGAAAATGTGCGAAAGATCACATACTGGCATGCTGGAGGACTGCGCTAATAAAGATGATCGCATCAAGGTAAAAACACACCAGAAAAATCACACCAGACTCATAGAGAAAAAAAAGTATCTTACTTTTTTCAGTATCTATATGGTATATATTCAGTAAATATTTCTGTGTGTGTGTATATATATATATAATTTATATAACAATGTAAATGTCTTTACTGTCACTTTTGGTCATATTAATGCATCATTGCTAAATAAAACTAATAATTTATTTTAAAAAATAATAATAATTTACTGACCCCAAATGGTAGTGAATGTGATATAATTTAGGTTGCAAAAAGGTGGAAAATTTCCAGTAAATTTCGGACACATTCCAGAAATTTTGGAAACTTTTCCAGGATTTTTATGGAATATTCCAGGGATTTTTGGAAACTTTCCAGAAACTTACCGGAAATTTTCCACCCCTTTGCAACCCTAATAATATATATATATTAAATAATTAAATATTTTCTTAAATAGACAATATTTATTTAAACTTTACTCAAAAGTATTTGAAAACAGAAAAATATTAATTGACTAAGCAATATATTGCTGGCAGTCTAGTGCACAACATGGTAAAACTGCATTTCAAAAAAAAAAAAATTCCTTTTCTTTTCTTATATCAGTCACTGACGGAGTGCCTTTTGAAGATGCGAGATTGGGATTCTGAGGACGAGAGCTGCGTTGACGGCAGCACTAATACAACTGGAGCTGAGAATGGAGACAGTTCAGGTACAAACTCTTGAGGTTCACTTGGGAATATTGTATTTGAAGTCAGGTCTTGAAATATCATCTCATATGTTTTTTGTGCTTGCAGATTTCCATCAGAAGCAAAAAGTACAGAAACTTATTGAAGCGGCCAAGGTATTCCTACTCAAATCTGAAACCTAGTGAAACACCTAGATACCACATATGACTGCCAAACATGCGGTCAAGTATGGCAGCTCGCTGGGGTTTGAAGCACAACCCTTCTGTGTCAGATTAAATGAATAGCATCTGTCTACATCCAGAATATGCAGATATGCTGCTAACAGATATGATGCTGTAGATAAGTTTAGTCCTCCTCTTTGTCACAGATGAGTGCAGACTTGAAGTCCATGGAGGAGGACAAGAACAGAGTGTTCGCCAAACTCGCAGATGAAATTAAAGCCAAAGAAGATCTTCAAGGTAAAACTTTGGGTCTACTAGAATTGAAACAGGTGCTGATGCATGAACCTTTTAATTTGATAAATTATTACATTTTGATTGATTGTAGAAAGACGATGTGACTTATTCATCCATAGTGGGAATCTTTAGGCACGTTAAGGTTTTATTTTCAATTGATTTGTACTCTTATCTTACTGATTTAATCTTAACATCACAACGTGTTTGCTTTCCTACATGATTTTATAGGAAAACACCTGCTCTGCAAATATTATGAGCAATAAAAGTGGATCTGATTTGCTTTGGCCTGATTATATCAAACATGATCATTCAGACTGTAAATGAAGACTTGTTTCTCTGTATTCTCAGAGGGGATCAAACAGCTTGAGGAGCAGAAGGAGGTGTTGGAATCAGAGAGTGCCAACTATGCTAGTGAAAGCCAGAAACTCCAGCAGAAACTCCAGATCATGACTGAAATGTACCAGGAGAATGAACTCAAACTACACAGGTTTGGACCGTTGAAAATCTTCATCTTCCACTCGTTATACTTTGCAGTGTCTTTTTATTGGAAATTCAAATACTAATGCTAATAATTCAATTATTTCTTGTACTCTTGTTAGGATGTTGACAGTGGAGGAGAAGGAGCGCTTGCAAAAGGAGGAGAAGCTCAACAAGGCAGGCAAGAAGATCAGTCTTGCTGCAGAGGAGCTCAACACTTACAGGTCAGAACAACTTGTATCGCACACATGAGGAAGTTAAGTAAAGTATGATATAGCATGTGATAAAATCAAAGGAAATGGTCTCTGAGAAGGGCAGGAAACATGATGCCAGATGAATGTTCACCAAAACAGGACGTTTACATTATAGTCTCTTTCACTATGTTTATATAGACATCGAGCCAAAGACCTAGAGGAAGAACTGGAAAGGACTTCACAGGCCTACAAGAATCAGGTGACACACTAGTAATGCTATATAGAGTTACAACATCTCTACATGATTTATATTGATAGAAGTTCTTCAGTGACACATGCTGATGATACCCACACTGAATATGTTTATTATAGCCTATTATTATTTTAATACAAAATTTACTCAAAATACTTTCATATAAAAATATCTGAAACCACAAAATGTGCATTGTCAATTGATGAAATTGTTGGTAGATTTTGGAACTGACATTAGGGTGAGACATTATACATCCTTATATCAGTCTGTCATTATGATATAGAGCTATGTGGCTGATATGAGGATGTATAATTCATAATTAATTAATTACAATTATTTTAAATAAATATTTATTATATAAATTATTCTTTTTTTCCTATCACAAAGAAGACTTGTATGTATGACCAATACGAGGATGTATAATAAATACAATTATATTAAAATATTTTTAAAAATAATAATTTTATATAAATATGTATTATATTAACTTTTCTTTTACCACCACAAAAGAGAGTGATGTCTCATAAATATTGATATAATATCCGTTTATCATTTTTATATGTGAATATTTATTATATATGTTTGTTCTTTTTTCTACCAGATTGCTTCTCATGAGAAAAAGGCTCATGATAACTGGGTAAGTAGTTTTCAGACCACTTATATTTGATCCATAGCAGTCATCAATAGCTTCATTGTGTCAGATGTTATTTTTATACTCTTCCTATTTTCTGTGTTATAGCTAGCCGCTAGGGGAGCAGATCGAGACCTGGCTGATGTCAAGAGAGAAAACGCTCATCTCCGCCAGAAGTAAGATTGACTAGAGTATTTTACTGTACTGTTTTATATACAGGATAACCTGTATTTATCCATACATATCAATGTGTTTACTATTGCAGGCTGACTGATGCCCAATTCAAGTCTGAGATACTTGAAAAGGATGTACGAGAGGGCAGACCTTTATTTAGAGGTCAGATACTTTCCACTTCCCTTTGGCTCGTACATGTCTATGTTTAAAATGGTGTTAACCTTCAGATATGCATTTCCCCATCTCACAGGTGAAAGATCTCCATATGGACCCTCTCCTCTTAGCCGACCATCCTCAGAAACACGGGCCTTCCTCTCCCCGCCTACACTAATGGACGGACCCCCTCGACTCTCACCGCAGTTTATGGGTGCAGGCAGAGGTGATATTCACACATCCCTCCCTTTTTTAATTCTGGGAAAAGTCTTCTAGCTAGTATGAAAAATGTGATTCATTTTTTTGCATTGTCAGTCTTTAGTTTAGCATGGTTATCTAGTAATATTCTGTATGTGTCTGTGTAGCACATGCATGAATCCTGTTCACTTCCCATTAGATATAGTTGATATGTTTGCATTAGGGGTGTAACGGGTTTGATTTCTCACGGTTTGGTTTGTGTATGGTTTGGTAAGTAAAAGCTACCTATACACTACTGTTCAAACGTTTGGGGTCAGTAAGTTTTTTTTAAAGAGATTAATACAATATTATACGTACAATATGAAATTATTCAGCAAGGATGCAAATAAATTGATTAAAAGTGGCAGTAAAGACAATAATGCTGCAAAATATTTTATTTTAAATCAATTCATTTGATACTCAAAAAATATATATTACCTAATATTAAACTGTTTTTCAACATTGATGATAATAACAATGTATCTTGAGCAGCAAATCAGCATATTAGAATAATTTCTGAAGGATCATGTGACACTGAAGTCTGGAGTAAAAAAATGAATTTTTGCATTTAAATGCATACTAAACTGTGGGTAGCAAATCATTCCCCAAGTTTGCATATAGAAAAGTCTTTTTGTGTTTCATTACCCTCGTTAATATTTCGTTGGTTGTCTCCCTTTCCTCCCTTTTTCTATTCTTAATTTCCTCAAACATTTTTATGTGCCGTCTCTCTCCACTCCATTCATCTTCCTTCACTCTCACTGTCACATAATCAGCATCCCGTGGCGTGGGAGAGCCCCCTAGTGGTGGGCCAGACTTTGAGCGGAGTGGCCCTCACTCTGATAGTGGCTCACTGTCTCCCTCCTGGGACAGGGAACGCAGGGGCCCTCCCCCCCCTCCAGGTACAGTGATGTTCCCACTGCTGTGGCTGCCCCGTAGCAGGAGGAAATACTTCTCTAGCTCTCAATGATCAAGAATTATTGATGGAAAAACTATGAGCACATTAACATGACTGCCCATTTTTATAACATGTTAATAGTTTAGCCAAACATAACAGGTCTTTTAGATTTAAAGGTACAGTGAAGCAAAAAAACACTGTTTATTTCTAATGATCAGAGAGGGAGGAAATGGTTGCGTAAAACTACATTACGATGCAAGAAATATACTATAAATGCTAAAAAAAATGTAGAATATGCAGTCTATAGGAGGCTTATTAGCTTGATTCAGTATTAATTTCCTATTGATTTATGAATACTAATCACTCAACTGTGTAATTTAGCCAACAGTGTGAGGTGAGAGGCGTTTCTGTTACTGAAGCTCAAACTCGGTTATTCAGAGGTGGCTGAGAAGCGCTGACTCAGCCGCACAGCTCATTGAAGAGTCACAGAACTGGGCCTTCTTTGTTCTAGACGTTTCTGTGATTTTGGCTTTGTCCCACTGCCCCCTGCTGCTCCTCACTGCTGGGCCGAATGCTGTGGACTAAATGTTCAGCGCAGTGATTAGTTATTTCATACTGTGGCTGTGAATAGCACAGAACATCACTGTATTTTTTAATGTCATTATCATCATGACCATTCTTTTTTATGTGTAGTGCATCATTCCTATTACATCCTCTGTGTTCATGGGCCAATCATTTTCAAATGCTTATTTTTGTTTTTATTTGTATTAATGTATAATGTGGTTCGAAAGGGTCTTGAATTTGGACAGTTATATGTATAAATAATCACTATATATTTAAAATATATAATTTAATTTGTTTTCATTTTATAAATTACAATTTTTTAAATAATTATTTGTACGTTTTTGTTTTTCATTGTAATAAATTATACATTTTTCTGATCCCGTATAAAGTGTTTGAAAGGCTCTTGAGAATATTAGAATATTGAGTATAATAATATAATACAAAATTATTTATATCCGTTTCTGATTCCCTATTAAAATGTAAAGGCTCTAGTTTATTTATAATAAATAAATGTATATAAAAAAATATAATATTACATTACATAAATGATGATCTTGATAATAGGTTTATACAAGTAAATATATTTTATATAAATATTCTTTTTTTTTAATATGTTTATGAAAGGTCACCCTCTACCAGACCCGGGTTTGCCCTTTAGGAGGCCTCCTCCAGGTCCGTATCCTATGGGTCCTTTGCCTCCTAGACCTCCATTTCCTCCTGAGCCATACTTTGGTGAAAAATCAGGTGAGTCTTTCCATGTGACCTCCTCTACAATATGTTTGACTTCTCTTAAAGGTCATTTGTACCTGTGGAATTATAAGTAGCCCATATGACTCGCATATACAAGCCTAATAGTAACTAATACTGAATAACTGAGGTACATATTCTCATAGTAAATGGAGCAACATAATGTGGCAGAAACTCCCTGCTAATTTGTTTTTATGTAGCTCATGTAATAATAGCATTACCGAGGCATGAATGAGCGCTCTTTTCGGCAATCCTTAAGAATTAAATTAAAATTAAAATGTAAGAAGTTTGGCTCAAAGATCCTAAGATCTTTTTTCCCCCCCAGATTCATCATTTCTAAGAAACAGCTCATCCATCAGTGAGAATGAGAGCAGAGAAGTGAGTAAACCTCCGATTGATGAGAAAAACTTGTCATTTTTTGACATGCCCATAACTAAAATGTGTCTTCTCACAGGGTCCTCACTCGTTGCTTGGTGACATGAGATTGCCCCCTGATCCAGATTCAAGAATGGGACCTCCTCCTGGCCCCCGATTAATGGGAATGCCCCCACTGATGGACCCACACTTCCCACCCAGGGGCCCTTATGGACCTCCGGAGTTCTTTCCCCCTCATGGTCCCCCCATAGGCAGTAAGTTAAATCTTTCCACTCGAAATGTTGTATTATCACAGCTTGAAGAAACAGTGAAAGTGCAGCACATTTAACTTCTGCAATGTGACTTTTTCACAAATTAAATGCATATTTAGTGGGACATGATTTAGGGAAAGACTTCATTTAGTGATTTGATTGATAAAGTTGATATTATTGGTTAATGTTATATTTTAATTATTATTTATTCTATAATTTATTATTAGTACAGATTTTAATTTTGCCATTTGATTTATTAAAAGATAGGACTCCGCTACTTAGATTTTTATATTTACAAATTTAAAGCTAACAACTAAAAAAACTGTTAACTTCATGGTTCCCTCGAACATTAACATTTTGGAAAAAAACATGAACTTGGAATTATAAGTGTTATTTCCAGTAGTAATGTATAAATATTAAAATTTTGGTCAATATTGATAATAGTTGCAAATAAAAAGCATGTTTAATGTTACATGATTTAGGGAAATACCTTATTTTTGTGATTTGATGAAGTTGATATTGGTTAATATTATTTTTTAAATAATTTTATTATGTAATTTCTAATCATTTATGATTTTAATTACACTATCTAATTTATTATTATTATTATTACACATTTTAATTTTTGCCATTTGATTTATCACAAGATAGGACTCAGCTATATAACTATTTTTATACTTGCAAATTTATGAAATCATTTATTAATTTATTTCTAGATTTATTTATGGGAATTTGAGGTAGCATCATTTCAGAATTTTCTGTCCGATTATTCAAATTAATTGTATTATTATTAGTAGTAGTATTAATAATATCATTACAAATTTTTATTTTTGCCATCTTATTTTACTTAATTTTTTTTCTATTTGATTTATTATTAGATAGGACTCTTTTTTTTTTTTTAAACATTAAGGTTATTTATTTAATATATAAATATATTTATAAGAATAGGCTGCATCACTTCAGGGTTTTCAGTCTGATTATTTGATACGGTGTGCTAGTACAAACTGATAACCTTTATTACTGTTTCCATTAGTGCGAGGGCCACTTCCCCCGGGAATGTTTTCCAGAGCTCCAATGCCGCTCCCTCAACATATGGGCTATCTGCCACCAAGACCTCTGTCTGACAGCTTCCCCCCCGGACCGCCACCCAGACCCTCCCCACCGGGCAGCGAGCAGACCCCCGACCAGTCGCCCTCTCCTCATGATGTCATCTGATCTCTCACGCTCTCTTCCTCTCCTGCAAACTGTTTCCGACTTCCTGTTGTTGTGCTCAGGGGGCGTTTCCTTTGATATGAAACCACAGTAGCCTTGTGGTTATCTCTTACTTCTGTCTTAGTTGAAAGCGCAAGCATGGCAAAGGGTGCAGCACATGCCACTGGTTATAATATTATGAGGAGGAAGTTGATGTCTGTATTTCAGGTACAGTGTAAGTGTGCAGCCTTTGTGAACCTGTAGGTAAATTGTAAAAAGTCAATGAGACTGCCTTTTAACAGGACTATAGATGCTCAGGTTTGTGATGTTCTGATGCTTTTTTTTAATTGAAGGTAGATGATAAAAGGTCCTCATATTTGTCAAACTGTATATATAGAAAGTCTAAATATATATTGTGAATAGGATGCTGTTGAAACAAGACTTTGGTAGCAAACTTGACAAATCCAACAACTCAGTCCAGAGAACAGTCCATGTAGCATATATATTTATAGTTTCCTCTAATAACAACTCATGCCTTAAAATAGGTGGTCTGATGAAATTATGTACATTAATAATAAAAGATGTCATTTGAAAAATAGTTTTTTTTGCTGAGACAGTGCAAATGCGTGAAACTATTTTTAAAAATAATTTCCAGTAGAGATGCACAAACATAAAAATTCTGGTTGATAAAAGTATGTTATGCCTGGATAACTGAATCAAATTAACTAAAATATTAAACAAAAATGAATCATTTAAGTGCTTCAAATGAATTTAGGCATCACAAAATAATGTGCAGTATGAAAATGAATATTATTCATTATTTTATCCGAAATGTAAAAAGGGGACTTAAGTTTCCACGATTAAATCTAATATCAGATAACCAATATGGTACCAAATACATTGTGCATCCCTGACAAATAAGCAGAATTATGTATTCATTCATTCGTTTTATGCTATAATCAAAAGTGCTTGTTTTAGGACTTGCAGAGTATTAAATGATCTTTGTGAGTAATATGGTGCTTCAGGAATTACGTTGGACAAATGATTTTCATAACAGAGCACAGAAGGTACATTGTTATAGTATTTGGAACATATTTTACACATTTTAAGAAGTAACCAAGAACCTGCCTACATATGCATCCCTAAATTCCAGACCTGGAAAAGCAAGGTCAAGCGCTAAAATCTTTAACTCCGTAGAAACTGAGCTTTACAAATGTAATCACTGCAACAACAAAAAAAAAAATCTACAACTCTCTGGTTAAAAAGAGTGAGAAATCTACTACTATTCCATTCGGCCTCGCATTTTGAAGCATAAAGAAAACAAATGCACTGTACATCACAACTGTATAAAACGGAGACCACATTGATTTTTTTAATGCTTTTATTTTACCGATTAAAAGAAAATGCATTCGTTCAACATTGATTCAAATCAACATTCGGCTGGTTTACCCAATATCTGTCAGTTAAGTTTTTCCTTCTTTATCGTGGAACCTCAAGATCACTTTTTCTCATTAAAATCTTCCCACCTGGCATGTTCACACCTGTGCCAGAGTACTTCCTGTTTGCAGATGTACATATAAAATCCAATGCTATGTGCTCACCGGAGACAAAAAAGTAGACAGAACACACCTGCCCAAATATTAAACATTTAAGATGGTAAAACCATTTTTGCAAACAACAACGCTTATAAACTTTTTTCAATGTTCATAAATAGAACCCGGACATGTGTTGCATAAAAGTATATACGCTGATATATATATACGCATATGCACGTTATCTTATTTAACTCCCCGTTAAGTTTATAAGGTAGCAGCGTGGTCTTCGCACTGCTGGTGCCCCATGATGGCCACTTCTTTATTGCAAACTGTCCTGATTTTAAACAAATGCACAACATTCGTACCACTTATAACTGGGGCCTTCTGGCCAGTCTCATAGAGACCATGTCTGTAACCCACGGTCGCCCCTGAAACTGAGTTGGCTTCCGAAGAATCAAGATCTTAAAACAATAAAAATAACAATAATAAGGCCAAGTATCATTGCAAGTTAGGTTATTTCCATTTGAGTGACAGAAAAAGAAAAGAAAAATCCAAAGAAAGAAAAACGAGTTAAGAGCCATTGGATCGTATGCATTCCGTTTGCATAGTTTTTGACTTCGCCGTTAACGCAAGCCGGCCAGAGACAGAGAGAGAGAAAGAGAGGCCTGCATTGGACCTGCAGTGGAAACTCAGACTGTTAGTTTTTACCAAAGGCTGGCGTGAGGTCGATAATCGGTAAGGTAGCTGTCGGGGAAAAAAAGCTGTAAAACACTGACCGTCTCAGATGGGGTCATAGCAGCCCTCTTTCTCCTTACTACGAGATTGTGAAATGCATATAACGTTTCCGAAAAAAAAAAAAAACTGGGATCCAACTGAGTTGTAACAACCGACTGGTCGCATCGATCGGGAATAAAAATCTACGCTCGCTCTCAAATGGTTCAAGAATTTCATCGTAGCCCCAGTCGAAAGCTGATTACAGGATCCCGCCCCAGCCCGAACCGAAACAGAACAGAACAGAATAAAAGAGTAAAAAAAATAATCATTTCATGCAGACATTTGGCCATTTTAGTTTGTTTTAACTCCCCAGTGGAATGTTACTAACACGTCTCATAGCAGCTTATAGGTCTGATAGAACCAACCTTGATTTTCAATAGTTAAATTACATTCACTCTTCACAGTGAAACAGGTGCATTGTAAGAGAGATCTAACGTATGTTGACCAAAGCCACAGCACAGCTGTGGACCACCGCCCAAGTCCAACCATTAGTACATTTATCTAATAGTAGTTGTCATAATACAATAGTAGTAGTACATCTCGGCCCATCAGCCATTGGCCCTGCCCTCTGCCAGCATGCGGGCACTTGAAAAAAAAAGAAAGAAAAAAAGATTCATATCACCGTTATCTTTGGCAGATGATGCGCTGACAGAAGTTAAATCCAGTGACTTCATTGAGAAGATTCTTCGTTAATGGAAACTTTCATTGTGAGAGGCCTGAGCTATTGGACTCCGTTTTGTTTCCTCCACACGTCTAACAGTAACCCTGAGAATGTCTGTTTCCTGTTCACTGCTGAGGAAGTTGTACCCTTTGTACTGAACACACACCTCCTTCTCTGATGGATGCACTTTTTGAACGTTTACACAACACACTCGCATGCACACATAGAGAGATTGCAAAGAAAAACGAGACGAAAACACTGATGCGATGTCTTTGTAACGCTTCGCAGACTTGGTCGACCGGGAACGTACGGTGACGTGGGTTTGAAATGAAAGCTATTCTGGGTTTTAGGCACGGTATGAATGCTTTAGCAGTTTGTAACGTGTCGTACGCTGTCATTCTCCGCCAACTCTAGTCGTTCGGCAAAATCGATGAACGACGAACAAGCTCCGAATTAAGAACACACTTACTGAAATCATTTTTTGGTGCTGTACCAAGTAGAACTTTTTGAAATGAACCAAAAAACACAGAATCCTGGCACACGTTTAAGAGCATTCCGACATATTCATTACAGCGTGTTTGGCACCCATGTCAACGCACCTGAAAACAGCATTTTTAGTCTGTGGTTTATTCAAAAAGGGAGTGAATTTAACAGATTTTAAACCACAATGACCCTATTTGCGTTCTGTGCCACCAACCACGAAAATCTGCCATTTTCACCAATGTTGACATGGGTACCGCAATAGGTTGTAAACTTGTCAACTTTTAGTCAAGCTGGATCCCTGCTTCGCACTTATAAAACATTGAATTACATCAACCCTTTGTGCACGTGCCAAGAGTTGTTCGACTTCATTGGTTAACTGCTTCTAACCTTTTTTGGACCACAAACGACAAGATTGTAAGCTAAATTGTTAGGTCACCCCTCACTTGATAAGCTTGCATATAAAGATGATTTTCATGCTGCGAAGGTTTGCTTTGGCTGTACATTGTTTTTGTCATAAGCGCAGATCTTCCAGGAAGACCTGGTTTGGCTTCAGGTAGTCGATACCGCCAAATAACAGGAAGTTCTGAGGCCTGACAGAGTAACGGTTAGCGAGGCAACTTAACGGTTTTAAAAAGTACTCCGCTCTTCGACAATTCACTTCATTATTCGAGCACGGCAAAATAAAGATATGCTCATGAAAGAGGGGATTCTGCGGAGCAAAAACGCTGCCGCTTTCAAGGCGGCTTAGTTTGACATTCACTTTTTCAGCTATGCAAGCAACCACGACCTCCTTCGACTATGATTTTCTAAAAAAAAAAAGCAAATAGACAATATATGTAAAAGCAAAGAACACACTGAAAACTTCAATAGCTAAACTAGGGAAATTAGACAGGAAGAAAAAATAAAACCAGCAACTTCTAAAGCGCATTCTTTTGGAAGAGCTCTCTTTCCTCCAAAAACACTACAAAGTCTTGCCCATCGAGCACGCCAACCCTTTGAACGAAGCTTCAACAAAAGCTTTCGGCTGGAAAAGTACCGCAAGTGCAGGAATCCTGAGATATGGAACAAGCAAACGTCTGTCTCCCGCCATCTAATGCTTTACAGATGAAATACCACGGCCCGGATTCAATCCGTTCGGAGCGCGTTCACCCTCAATTACGATCGAGTTGACGCACTTCAGTAAGGAATTACAAAGACGTTAACTCCAAACCGACTGAGGCCGAGGCCAAAATCACATTGATTATGAAGTAGTAAGGGGGAGTTCAAGGCAACTGTGACTCAAGAAGAACAATTAAAACTGACGGAACAGCTGATTGTTTTCACTCTTACCAAAATATCTTAACCTTCATCTTCATCTTCCTTGTCATATAATTTTTGCCTACCTGAGACAGACGGGAAGGACTTCTTAAAACAACAACAACACACAAGAAAACAAGAAAAGGAACAAAACACCTATGGCTGGGCCCAGATATTGTGCTGCAGGGCGGTCAGCATGCAGGTGTCAAACACCAGACTGAAAACCTCTACGATTGGTTTCACCAGCAGAGGTGCGTCTACTTCCAGGTTGAGAAAAACCAGCGGGATCTGCGTCCCGAACACATCGTTTCCACCAATCCTCATTTCTGAATAACAATTACATATTGAGGAACAAAGAGGAAGGGTCGTAACTGCTGTGGATCAGTCCTGTCCCTTGGCTGGAAGACTAATCTCCCTATAAAAAGGTCAACGTGAACATGGGATTTCGTCGTTGCAGAAGCCAAGAAGAGTCAATTGATAGTTTGAGGTAACTCCACACTTTCTAGGGGGAAACCAACAAACAGACAAAGCGAGAGAATGAACAACTCACTGTACAACTTGTAAGCTAGCTGTATAAAAGCCCCTCTCTACCATTCACTCAATTAGCTACTAAACCAATACCCAACTATACTTTCCTAGTTATAAGCAGGATATATAGATATAGATATAAATATAGAGCTAATACTGATTAAACACAGCACATATAAAGGATTAAATTCACACTACAAGAATAAACAAAAACAAAATCAAAATGCAATGCAAGAAAAAGAAACAATATGTAAAATGAGAAGGGCCCATTTAGTGAAAGATCACCAAGCACAGGGTTAGAGAGGGCATTTGCGTCTACATGCCCGCGCTGAAACTCTGCATCTCACGGTGGAAGTGCTGAGTGGGTTCGTTCAGGACCAAGCTGTTGTCTATGGAGGCATGCCAGACGCGGCCCAAGCCCAGGGACACCTCCTTGACTAGGTTGTGGACGGGGTCGCCCTCGATGTACACCGACTGGTCCGGGTCAAAGTCGATGCTCTCTTCGGACACCTCCAGGACTTTGAGGTTGGACCCACGCAGGCGAGAGATGGCCACCAGGTTGTGCGACCACACAGTGTAGCCTGTGGAGCGAGAGAAACAATTTAACCCAGAGAGCAAGTATGGTAAAACAGCTTTATTGACTCACTGATTCTGGAGACATGGGACAAAAACTACAAAAAAGTAAAAATACCAACAACAACAAAAAAAAAAAACACAAAGTAATATTTTTATTCAAATTAATCATTAGTACTGAAAATACTGTCAGAAACAAAAAACATATTGCAAATCTAGTATTCAGACTGATGAATGAATAAATTGAGATTACAGGATGATTTCAAATTTCAGCTTGAATTCAGACAGAAAATCTGACATAGTAGATGGCTTACAGTCACGACAAAATACTAGTATGCTGCTTAGCATGTTTTAAATCCAGGAGCATTTTGTTAACCTACTGTTACTGGCTACTAATGTCACTGATTTAAAAGGAGAGAAATTATCTAAAAAAAAACAGTTATGAAAAAGGTTATGGAGCTGAAACATAATAGAATTTTTTTTTTTTTAAATATTTTTAGATTTTTCATTTTTAGATCATTAAATATAAACAAACAATTATTTTTCCCAGACATACATTAAATAAAATATGAATAAAAACATATGTAACGATAGATAGATTTTATGTATATTTTAATTATTAATTTTGGCATAAAGGTTTATGTATGGGGAAATGTTCAATTTTGCAATTGTATTAGGCTTTTTGTAAATTCTTTGGCAAGGATGAAAAAATACATTTAAAAATGAAACAAAATCACACATTAAATAAAAACCACATGATAAGTAACGGCCGCAACAACAACAACAACTTCCCAAATAGACATGTATTACCTTTCAGATATATTAGTTTTTTAATAATATTAACTTAAACCGGTTTTATAAAAAGTTTTTATTCAGAAACATTACAGTCCGTTTTGTCCCATGTCTCAAATCAGTGAATTATCAACATCAAGTGAAAAGTGTAAAATCTCCACTTACCATGGATGATCAGGACAGCGAGGTGCACACAGCGCCAGGCGAGGAGAACCAGCGGGTCCTCGTTGCGGTTGACGCTGAGGTCTGGGAATCCAGCGTCGTCTCTCATCAAGATGAAGTGGCTCAGGGTTTTGCGGTACTGCTGCGAGATGAGCTCCATGACACCATCCGTCACCAGCGTGCTGTAGCTGTCCAGATGGATCCGCTCCAGGGGCACGCTGGGCTTCAGCACACGCAGAAGGTCCTGGCTGCACACATCCATCGCCATGATGTAGACGCGCAGGTTGGTGCTGCGACGGACCAGGGCTTTCCAGTCGTCCTCGGTGGCGGTACCATCCAAAGGCTTGACGTCCAAAGCAGCGCCATTGAGCAAGAGGGAGAGGCGGTGGAGGGGCGCTCGGTCACCGCCGGTGAGGAGACAGCACATGTCTGAGGTGAAATCGCAGAAGTCTAGCGACAGAGACCGCAGGTTAGTGAGCCTTTCCAGTTCGATGGTGGAAATCAGGCTGGGCAGCTGGCTGTCGATCAGACTGAGGTGCTCGAGGGAGCTGGTGCTGGGGTTGGAGAGAGAGGCCAGAGAGCAGGGGGTCACCACACCGAGCATGAACGCAGACGACAACCACTTCAACTGCCTGCTGTTGGACAGGATCTCTTCGAAGAGCTGCTGGATCCTAGAACAACAGGATAAACAACAACATTATAAACAGTTATAATTCATTTTTAAAGTTAAATAAACAAAGGCAGCACAATGAGACATGACATTCACTACCATTCAGAAGTATGGGGGCAGTCTTTTTTTTTTTTTAAGAAATTAATTTTTCTCTTCGGCAAGGATGCATTAAATTGATCAAAAATCACAGTAAAGACTATTACAAGCCAAAAAATAATAACAATAAAATAAAAATAAAATACAAACTGTTCTATTAAACTTTGTTCATAAAAGAATCCGGAAAAACCAAAAATATTAAGACTGTTTTCAACATTGATGAAAATAAGAAATGTTTCCTGGCAATCAAATCAGCGTATCTGAATAATTTCTGATGGATCATGTGACACTGAAGACTAGTAATGGCTGCTAAAAATTCAGCTTTGCTGGAATACAATAAATCATTAAAAATAATAATTTATTAAAACAGAAAACAGTCATTTTAAATTGTAATAACATTTTACAGTATGACTGTTTTACTGTATTTTTAATCTAAATAAATTCAGCCTTGGTGAGCATAAGACACTTCTTCCAAAAACAACAACAAAAAATAAATAAATAATAATAATAATAATAACAACAATGGAAAAAAAAAAAAAACTTTCCCAAACCTTTGAATAACAGCATAGTTAAAGACATTTGCTGTAAAGTTGCTTTGCAATGATTTGTATCGTGAAAAGCGCTGTACAAATAAACTTGAATTGAATTGAATGTAACATATTACAGTTTTTTAAAAATATTTATTGTTTCCAACAGCAATACTATTTTTAAACAGTAGGAAGTATATGGTATATACACTGTGCAATATGCTAGTATTCAAATCTGAACAAAGCCCAAAACAAACGTTTATTTTTTTATGCCATGCTAGCTTCTGTGGCTATTTCCATGGCAAGAAAATTTTATGGTAAAACTATGCATCAGGTTTTTACAGTCTATTTTTGCTAAAAATTCAACAACTGTATTTCGTTAAGATTTAACTTTCGAAAGTGTTAACTGATTTTAAAAAAAAGTTAAAACAAGCACAATCTAATAAAACATGCTTCATGGATCTGCCTTATACCTAGAACTAACAAGATAGTCAGAATATTTGCAAAGCCAGCTTCCTTGATTAGATTTTCCCCATTGAGTGTGCCATTTCAGTATAAGATTGCAATCAGTTTACATGAGTGGAAGGTAGCTTTAAAACATACTCTTTCATTTTCTTGCCCCCTTGGTCGACCTGGCTGAGGTAAGAGCTGTCCAAAATGCCATCATCCTGAAGAATGCATGTGTCCCCATAGAGACTCAGCTTCTGGAGGTTTCTATAGAAGAAAAAAGTAGTATGAGTCTCGTGTCTTGCAAATGTAAACAAGCTAGAGCAAACAAACTGATAGATATCAGATATTCCATTCTCAATTCATATGTGACTTGAATGAAATCATATGAATCATATATTATATATATCAAGTGTTCCTGTGGCTCAGTGGTAGAGCATTGCGTTAGCAGCACAAACGGTCATGGGTTCAATTCCCAGGGAACACGCATACTGGTAAATAATGTATAGCTTGAATGCACTGTAAGTCGCTTTGGATAAAAGCGTCTGCTAAATGCATAAATTATTATTATTAAATTACATGAGAACAGTGTATAATGTAAAATGTACCATATTAAATGACCACCAAATATAAATAAACCATCACAACATGAAAACAAACAAGGAGGAACCGGTTTCATTCATTACAATACCAAACTAGAATTCACAACACAAAAACATTGCTCCTGAAACTTTGAGATCAACAGATATTGTCTTTTTATGACCAATACAAGCTATAGCTCTTATATTTAAGTGTCTGATACAAAGAATCAACCAATTAATTTGAAATAAATTCTCAAACCAATTATCAAACTCTCACTACACCAAAGAACCTATTCAGCTCTTTTTCCTTTTGTTTGCACATTTTAAACTAAAGCCTGTTGTTTTAAAGGCAATTGCTGGGCTATGAGTCCTTCTAGTGCTTTTCTATTGTGCATAAACCGTTCAAATCAGCATCAGGAAACATCATGAAACACAAAGCCAGTCTTGTTTAAACACTGTTTTGTAAGATTCCAAAGATTCTGTTAGAATGTTAACAATGCAGTAAGGCTTGTGGGAGTTTAGATAGCGGTTTTAACATGCTACTTAGAACTAACTAGCATTTATTTTATGTTAAAGTGCTTATTCTTTCCAAGTAAGTGTAGTTACAAAAAGTAACTAGAATGTTTTTCAATTACACTAGCAAATATTCATTACATACAAGTACGGTTTGTTACTAGTCATGTATTGTCCCAATACAATTGTTACTGGTAATTATTACAAATTGCATATTTTGCCATCAAATTCAAGATGTACGCTTTAGCTCAGAATGTATTATACTTGTTTTATTTCACTTTTACTTATAATTATTTTATTTATTAGGTATTTGTTTTTTTTAGGTACTACTCAAATACTTACTAATATATTACAGTTCACCCAGTAGTAACTGAATATATACTATACTAAAAACTATAAATAAATACTATATAGATAGATACAGATCTTAGTTATTTTAGTATATATTTAATGGTACAAATGTAATATTAATAGCTATAAAATAGCTAAAATACGTTTTTTTATATTTCTTTTCTTTCAGTTCGTGTTAATTTCAAGTCACTTTTTTGTTACATTTAATGTACGGTTACTAGCAATATTTTTTAATCTTAGTAGTCGTATTACATTTTTTTTATTTACCTATAAATTAGCTATTCTAACTAATCACTGCATGTGACAAGTAGAAAATTATAAGCAGACAAAAAAGTCACTAGTAACAATGTATTAAAACCTAATAACAACAATTTACTAGTATTTACTTAAAAAGTACTAGCAACCATTAGACGTTATTAGAAGTCAATCAGATAAAGCTGAACAATTTCAATACAGACTAGATGAAAGAAAAAACACAGATCCCCATACAACTCAGTGGTACTTAAAAAAAATGCAATTTGTTACCAGTTACCTCGCACTAAAGGAACAATAACTAGTACTTGCATCCAATGAATAAGTGCTAGTGAGACTGAGAAAAATGCTAGTCATTATTGGATTACTTACTAGTAAATAAAGTATTTTTAGCAATATACAGTACTAGCAACAAAAATAGGTACTAGTTAGTTCGGCTTGTTATAGGAGGTGATAGCAGTTATGCACAAAGCGGCAGCCATGCGATGCTTCAGACATGAGCGTTACGTAATGCGCAGGGTTTGTTTATGGCTGCTGGTGCTCATCAAATGTAAGCAAAGCAAAGCAAAGCAGCCAGAAAGAAGGTGTAACGTCAACACTAACACATGCAAACCGTGCCCAGATCCATATACCTGTTATTACGCAGACTGCCGAGCACACACAACACCTGATCCAAATATGTCACCATCGCATCTTTCGCGAACTGCGGGTCGCTCTCGACGGCTTCCACTCCGTGCTGCAGCGGGCTTAAACAGTCGTCCAGCGGGGCGAACTCCAGCTGCAGCTCCCGCACGAACGAGCCGAACTTGCGCATGAGGAACTCTAATCGCGGGGTTTGTTCTGATCCAGATCCGCCGCCGTTGGTTCCGCCACCGACGCGCAGCTTGAGCTCCGTCCACAGCGCAGGGTAGAAGAGACACTCCCTCCAGCGAGAGCATACGGCCGAGGCCCGGAGCTTGTCACGGTCTGACAGGAAGGAGAATATGTGAACGATAAGCTCGCTGGGTAACGCCAAGGCTCCGACGCTACTGCACAGAGCCATGGCAAGAGGCTTGAAAGATGCAATGAAGATTAAAAAAACGTAACCGTTACACAACTCCGCGCCTCTCCTCTCCGCTCTGCTCTGCTACTGCGCTGAGTGAAAACAAACAACTGCGCGATGGGCTTTGCCTTCAATACTACTGGATCAGTCCACTTTCGCTTTCCTAATAGGGGCGGCAAGAAATTTATTAGGAGATAATGAGCACGTGCTGAGCGAAAATGAGATTTAAATATAGTATGATGAAATATACATATTAGTAGACACAACTAGTGTCTGGTAATATTAATTTAACTGTTTATTTCGTGTAATGCATTTTTTGTCAATTGGGTGGTTGCAGTGGCTCCTTCCGAAAATGCCTTATTTTTGCCATACAACGAGTGGCCGAAGGAGGGTGCAAGAATTTTCCTTTTAACCACAGCACCCATTTCTGATCTCTTTTATCATTGGAATCAAATAGCCATGTGCACATGGTAATATGGGGAAAGAATACAATTTACATTCTAACCCTTAATGGGAAATATTATATACATAAATCAATATATAGGTCAGCTGTACCAAATGGTAGGCTATTTCCCCCTGGTTTAAAGATTTAATGATTGTTTAATTTTTAGATGCAAGATGAAAAGTTATACTGGAATTGTAAGGACTTGTATGATTTTTTTTTCATGTATTTCACTGTTGGAATTACAATTTCACAAATACTAGAAAAGAACTTTTAGAGACCTGAAAAGAATACAAAAAATGGCATAAATGGAGACTTCTAGTTAGGACTCCAAAGATAACTTTAGCTGTGAAGCACAGGGGTTTTCGATCAATCTGATGCCAGGGACCCCTAAAAATGATGACCCCTGCCCATTCCTAATATACAAAGACTGCTAAATATTTTTGCTGTATTAAGACTATGCTATGTGATAAAAAGTGAGATTATTAAAATAATAATAATAAACATGTAAACCATTGGTTGTGTGCTGTGATTGTGTTTAAAGACAAAAGAAATAATGAAAATAGAATAATTCTAAAATAGTGCTGTCAAACGATTAATCGCGATTAATCACATCCAAAATAAAAGTTTGTGTTTACATAATATGTGTGTGTACTGTGTATATTTATTATGTATATATAAATACACGTAAATGCATATATATATTTAAGAAAAATATGTTATGTTTATATATAAAATATGTTTAAATATAATATAAATTATATGAACATAAATATATATATGCAAATATATGTAAATATTTTCAAAATATACATTGTATGTGTTATTTTGGATGTGATTAATCGTATGACAGCACTATTCTAAAATAATCCACAAAATATTTACTTTGTAAACAGTGTATATTTTACACACTCCTGCTTACTGAATTCAGTTTCAGTTACACTTTTTTTAAAAAACGTATTAAATGTGTAACAAAATGCATAATAGAAATGCATAATAGAAATACACATAAAAACATGAGAAGGCCTGAGTAAGGTGGTGCTAGTTCTCATTTATTAGTCATTTCAAAAACATTACTGACATGTTTTGCTGGGAGTGCAGACAACACTAACCCATTCTTTTTTGATTGAACTTGATCTGGGCGAGGAAAGAGAAATCAATCTTCGTAATTATTTTGTGTGAAATTATAATCTTGTCAAAGGTTAATCATGCTGAACAAAATGAGTCTCATTTTTGCACAAATAATCTGACTTTTAAGGAGTTAAGAATTAGACTATTATGTTATTAATAAAACATTGAAAGATGAAAGTATGAAAATATTTCAATTAAAGGGTTAAAGAAGAAAAGAAGCAGTGGCATGTAGTGATGCCTAAAACATGAAATTACAGCACAACTATAGTTGATTTTGTTGTGAATACTCCAGAAGAGGCTACACTCTATATACAGTAGGTTTATATAGAGATAGATATGGAATCATATTTAAGCTTTTTCATAATTATTGTACTACTAAAACTACAAAATGAGAGGACCTCACGTGCTTGAAACTACATTGAAACAAACTGAAATCCATTTGCAAAATTTAAGTCAGACCTCTGCATCAGCTCACATTCAACAGACTAGAGTCAGCTTGAATAAAAAATAACTTTCAATATGAATTTGTATAGATCTTTTAGATGTCTTTTGCAAAATTGTCAGCGTTTTAACGTTTTAATTACGTTTTCTATTCTAATAATCTATTTAAGTAGAAATTGTTTACATGTGACGTCACTTCCTGGTTGACGCTGCGGAAGAGCTCGAAGAAAGCAACAGAAAGGACTGAAGAAGACATGGCTGAACTGTCACTGTACCTCACAAACGTTAACGTGTCTCTGGGGCAAACTATGGACACAGAAAAGGTAAAGTCATTTTTAAATATAATAAGTAAGGTCATGGAATTACATACTTTGTTTTGTTGTAGACAAAAGTCGAGATATATGATTCTACTTCCTTGTTCGTTACATTTTAGTATAGCGATTAAACTAGTTTGATATTAATACACATAATGTAAGATATAAATAAGTAATAATGTAATTTATATAATATTAATGATATATAATAATGTGATTTATTTGAAGTCTATTTATCTAATTTAATTTACACAATGATAGTGTAATATAATATTAATAGGGTGACCATACGTGCCATTTTCCCAGAACGCGTCCTGGCCAGGATTTGTTTTGGCTTTGTTTTCCTGTTTTCATGCTTGCTGAAGGTAATGATCGAAAAGTAGTTTGACCAATAACATGCAAGCATTGTACATAATGGACCAATCATGGCGTGTGAGAATGTGGGATCTACGCCGGCGGTAAAGGTAGTTTGATGTTTGACATTCATTAGACATTCGGGTTGTTTGCCAATTAAACTCTTTGCAGCTTTTATGTTTTGAGCCCAAACTAACTCAGATAGACATAAATATATGCCCTTTATGTTGCACAAGGCTTAATTTCTAGGAATAAATTTTTTTTTTTTTTAACCATTTAAATTAATTAAACAATTTAACTACGTGACATTATAATATAAAACCAAAACTAAAATGTTCGGGAAAACATACCTGTTATCGCACAAAGCTCCGTTTTTGGAATTACAATTTTATGTTTTTTATAATAATTTTACAACTTTTAATGTATGCAATAATATAAATCCATTAAACGACAACACCATTTGATCTAAAGGTATCAAACCAACTGTAAAATATTCAGAATATTATTCCCTATAATGCACAAGTCTTGGTTTTCCAGATTATGCCTTTACTGTTTTTATATACAGTACTGAATCCATATTTGTCATGTTTATTATTCTGTACCCACTTAAATTAATTAAACTCTGACACCGTTTGAGATAATTAATTTAAGTGGGTACAGTATATAAAACATGACAAATATGGATTCAGTACAGTATATAAAAACAATAAAGGCATAATCTGAAAAACCAAGCCTTGTGCATTATAGGGAATAATATTCTGAATATTTTACAGTTGGTTTGATACCTTTATCTCAAACGGTGTCAGAGTTTAATTAATTTAAGTGGGTACAGTATATAAAACATATGAAAAAAATATGGTTTCAGTACTATATATAAAAACAATAAAGGCATAATCTGGAAAACCAAGCCTTGTGCATTATAGGGAATAATATTCAGAATATTGTACAGTTGGTTTGATACCTTTATCTCAAACTGTCAGAGTTTAATTAATTTAAGTGGGTACAGTATATAAAACATATGAAAAAAATATGATTTCAGTGTTATATATAAAAACAGTAAAGGCATAATCAGAAAAAAAACAAGCCTTGTGCATTATAGGGAATAATATTCTGAATATTTTACAGTTGGTTTGATACATTTATCTCAAACTGTGTCAGAGTTTAATTAATTTAAGTGGGTACAGTATATAAAACATATGAAAAAAATATGGTTTCAGTACTATATATAAAAACAATAAAGGCATAATCTGAAAAAAAACAAGCCTTGTGCATTATAGGGAATAATATTCTGAATATTTTACAGTTGGTTTGATACATTTATCTCAAACTGTGTCAGAGTTTAATTAATTTAAGTGGGTACAGTATATAAAACATGACAAATATGGATTCAGTACTGTATATAAAAACAGTAAAGGCATAATCTCGAAAACCAAGACTTGTGCATTATAGGGAATAATATTATGAATATTGTACAGTTGGTTTGATACCTTTATCTCAAACGGTGTCAGAGTTAGGGTGACCATACGTGCCATTTTTCCTGGACGCGTCCTGGCCAGGAGGCTTTGTTTTCCTGTTTTCATGCTTGCTGAAGGTAATGATCGAAAAGTAGTTTGACCAATAACATGCAGGCATTGTACATAATGGACCAATCATGGCGTGTGAGAAGGTGGGATCTACGGTCAAAGCGATGCAATTACGCGTACATATTAGGTGTGTTCGACTTAAAAGCAGTGCGGCTCAGACCGATCAGTGTTTGACATCAAAGTACCTCGAGAGCGTTTCGAAAGCATAACCGTCTGTATGGTACTTTGATGTCATACACCGATCGGTCTGCACACGCAAACAAAGCCAAAACCTAGATATTTTAGGCAATATAGAAATCCTGGCCAGGACGCGTCCTGGGAAAATGGCATGTATGGTCACCCTAATATTAAGATCTTATAATGTAGTTTATATAGGCCTCTCTGTAACAGTGTGTAATGTTCTTGGTAAATTAAATTTAAATGTATAAATTTATCTGCTGGTTTAGAGTTCTACAGTGGTGAAGGAGTTTGAAAATGTGGAACTTGGAGATCTGGGCAAAAAGAAGCCAAAGATTCCTCGCAGAACAATCTACTTTGCGTCTGGTGAAACCATGGAAGAGTACAGTACAGATGAAGAGGAGGAAGAAGAACCAGAGAAAGCGAAAACTTTAAGTACAGTGGATACGGTGAGTTGCATCAAATCGTTAAAGGTCCCATATTGTCAAAACTGAAATTTCCTGGCTTTTTTCATGATAACTGAGGTCTAGGTGCTATGTAAATGTAACTACCATATAAGTTTCAAAACAGTCAGTCCACAGTAAAATGCACACAGCCTGCTTAAAGTAGCTGTGACAAGCTACAGCATACATGAACCTAGTTACCTCTGGTTGGCCTGACCGTGCGTCACTCAGAAAACAACAGGCCAATCAGAAGAGAGGCTCATGAATATTAATTA